TTAGTGAACACATCTGACTGTTTGGCTGAAGCAGCTGGTGGGTGGATGGGGGGGGGGTGCACTTTCAACAAAGTGTAGCACTAACTTTAGCATGTGTGCTTTTAGTGCTTGTCACTGACCGTTCTTTATAGACAAGGGTACAGGAAGAGGAAACAGAAGGAATGCGCTGTAAGTAGGGAATGTGCATGAGGCACGGAAACCCGAGATACTGGATGCCTACGTCACATGGGTCTGCAGGCGTCCATGCACAGCCTTAGCGACTGGCCCGAAAGCATGGCAGCCCAAGAGCCGGGACGACTGTGAAGATAAGAAGTGTTCGCAGACGTCTCCGAGTGATCGTCTCCTGTAACAGGTCACTTAACCTCACTTTCCTCTCCGCAGCATTGCTTAAGTGGAGCAATTGCCTTTTGGGTTCCCTTGGTGATTCTCCTTGAGCACTTGAGGACAAACAAAGGATTACGATGGAGCCAATCAGCAAATAAACAAATAACACCTCCACTACAACATTCAGAGGTTAATCACAAGAGGCGCAACAATCCAGAGTGGAAAAGAATTCAATTCCTAATAGCTGCTGTACAGACTCGCAGGAATACTGATTGAGAGCAAAATATGTGCAACGAATATTTGCATTTTGATTCAAGCCGGCTTACTTGAGTGCTCTCAGAAAACCCAGTAAGTGTTCCTCAAATCAGGAGGCATGGAGAGTCATACATTTGCTCACTCTGCATGTTAAGGCTAGAGAAGAAAAGATGTATGTCATAACACTAACAGCCCGAGGGAGGAGAGGAAGGGGCGGGGCTGGGGCAGGGCTGGGATTGGTGTTTTTGCATTCTGCTGTGGCACGGACTATTTTGACTCATCCTAAATACCAGCCCACTGTCCCTGAGGGCAAGTGGGTGTTTCAAAGGTGGCCCGGGACCCCAGTTTTGAGTTTCCCAGCGCAAAGTGCTGCCGCTTTGATTAGCTGGAAGAGACTCCTAGCTGGTCTTACAATGGATTAGCGAGGCGTCGCTGGGTGCTGGGAGACAAGAGGCTCTGGGCGGGGCAGCAGTTCAAAGGAGTGCTTTGTAGCATGTGCAGAGCTCAGGTATTCCACTAAACGTGATAGATGGCCGTCACTCTGACGCCAATCTGGGGAATAACATGGTTTCCATTGGCATGGAGCTGCGGAACACGCCTTGTCTGACTCAAGCAATGCTAGCAAGAGTCCTGTGTATTTCTGCATATACAAGTATACACACACACACACACACACACAGAATTAATGACCTGATTTGTATAACATTTGGCTTTGCTTGATTTTTTTTTAGGTGTCGTAAAGAAGTCCACATGCATGCATTTGCATGTTGTCCTGGTTTAAAATAGATAATGGAAAAAATCATGCATGCACACTTAACAGTCACAAACATAGGCTGACTCGTTGTGGCTCACAAGTGCATCTCACTCGAATACTGAAAAGCAGGCTTGAATTGTTAAGGATCACACACTTTCTCCTTACAGGGCTGGATAAAAAATAGTCTCAGCAAAATTGCATGCATATAAACACACACACACACACTCACAAAGACACCCACACACACTTGCAGAAATACACACACACACACACACACACACACACAAAAGCAGAGATGCACACACACAATCACAGACACCCACACACATGCAAAAATGCATACACACTCATAGTAATGCGCACACACACACACACACTGGTTTGTAATTATATATTTGTGGGGATTTCATTTATATGGGGAAAACTCGCAATTCCGAAAATGATGACCTTAACCCCTACCCAGATCTAACCTTAATCATAAGTAACCAAACAAAATAATAGCTATTTTTACTTTTTTGATTGCATTCACAGATCTTTGTGAGGACCCGAAAAATGGTCCCCACAACATCAAAGAGACAGGTTTTTATTACACTGTGGCAAGCATTCGGTCCCCACAATGTAATATAGACCTAATCCAGACACACACACACACACACACACACCTATATATAATTATCAGTGATGTTATCTTGTGTTTTTCCTGCTGGCTGCACTCTGAACGGAGTGATGAGGGATGTCTGCAGTCATGGAGACTTCATAAACCCAGGGAGTGGATGCTCCTGTTCACGCCCCCCCCCCCCCCCCCCTCCTGGAGCCACCACTCCGGCGACAGCCCTGGACCCTCTGAAGGGCCACGGGAATCTGCTTAATGGGGCTATTGTGTGCTGTCAATAACAGTCAGTGCCACCAGGGCAGAGCAGTGACCGCGGCATGATCAGGGGAATCCGGGGGCCAAGGGGGCGCAGGTAAGAGCGCAAACGGAAACAGAAATCACGCAAACAAATACGCAGTACTTTACCGTACTATTACGATAACTTTTAGGAACATTTCCGAGGTGCAAAATGACTGTCAAACCAATGAGGGCATTTTGCAAATTGATCTTTTTAATTTGTCGGCGAGTGCTACAGCTGCGCAGGCTACGTCGTGCAGATGCAGTCACACCGACCCACTTACGCAGTTATGCTGCATTGCAGCGCATTGTCCCACGACCAATGAGCATAGGACTTCAGTAACCCTAACCCCTAAGTGAGGTTATTATAGAGTAACTCTACACTTAGGTGCTGCAGACCTGCTCTGTGTGGGAGGTGGATGCAGGTTAAATATTCAGGCAGGCGCATATTCACATCGGTACAGAAGTTTGTATATTGATGCGCAGCTGTCTCCTCCCATGAGCTTACATTTCAGCTGAGCTGGATTCACTGGTTAGCGAGAACAACATAACAACAGCTGCCCCTGACAACCTTGCGGGAGAAGAGAAGCAGGGCTGGGAGCATGCAGCTGGCCCGGTCACTGCATGGGCACTGTGATGCACTGCAGAGCTCTGTGCTTTTTCACACTGGCACTCACCTGCCAAAACGCTGGCACATTTTACACCTCTCCGTTCACATCGTACCCCATCAATGTCCACTAATTCAGATGAACGTGTTTTGGATGCCTCTGCTAATTTTGTGAAAGGGGTAAGGAATTTGAAACCTCCAGTTCTGAGAATGAGAGAGATTTGGCTGGAGGGTAGTGTATCCCTTCCCATGATTCATTTCATAGCCATAAAGCCCACTGGGATGTTTATGAGTATATACAGAGAACAAAGTATGCAAGATGTATCTTGCTGAGCTACCCTCTGGAAATCAGTGCCGACGATGGCAGTCCTCAGATCAGCTCAGGGGTGAGAGTGTCTCAGTCCAGAACCGGCACCAGCCTGTCTGTCCTTGTCATCTAATCAGTACAGTGTAGACACCAACCTGTCTCCTGTCTAGCTTGTGACCAATGGTCTCAGACTTGTCCCAAGGGCTGGGTGGGGGTAGGGGCTATTCATCTTAGGTTCAATCTTCCATGACACCCAGCAGAGCCTGGGAAAGAGAGCTCACAGGGTGTATGCCCCCCCCCCCCCACCCAGCACCGGCCCCTCCCCAGAGCGTGGATCCTTTGAAGGCCCGAGGTGAGAGAGAAGCCTGTTTGCCATAAGGACTTGCAGTACACCTGGACACTGTGGGGCATGGAGGGGGGTCAGAAGGCTTCTCTTAAGGACATCGGTTGTCCCCGTTGATTTGTAAGGCCTGGGAACCTCCCATGGGGGCTCATGAAATGAAAGCCCTTAGAAGGACAAATCTGGACACGTCTTTTGTAAATGACGGCTTAGATCTGTCCAGAAAAACATTACATAATACCTCCGCAAGCATGTGAGAAAAAAAACACTCACTGGCATGAAAAAACACATAAACCATCCCACTAAAGCCAATTCCAATAAATTTATGGACTGAGGATGGGCCAATTGT